CCCCCCCGTTTTTTATTTGCATGCATTGCAAAAAAGCGGGCAGCCCCGCGCTGGGTTTCTTTGGTAGGTGTCAAGAGCAGCAAGAGTTTATAGCGGTGCACGAATTTGCTCGTTTTTATCGTCGTTTTTCGGGAAAAAAAGAAAAAAAGGCATCGAACGCGCGCCGCGTGCACGAAGGAAGAGAAGGAGTTTGCGTCTGAAAATCCAACGAGCCTGGTGGCGGTGCAAAGAGGCAAAGCTCTGCCGCATTCGAGGTGCTGAGCGCCCTGGAAAACACCCCGGGCCGCCTTAGCCTCCTCGAGCATTGCCAAAAAATAAGCGGAAAAACGAGAAAAAAAGGTGCAGCGGGGTCAAATAGGGCTGGGGACGACGCCCCCCAGCCAGTAATGAATTGGGAGCAAAGCGGGGTGGTGCCGCTCGTCTGCGGTGGGGCTGTGGGCACGGAAGGGGCTGGGGGAGCAGGGGCTCCTCGCTTGGAAGCGTGTTGCGGATGTGAAAAACAGACCTCGGTTGCCATCTGTTGCGACAGGAGGCGCAGACCGCCCGGGGACCCCGGTTTCCCTGTACGAGGGGCTCCCCAAAGACACTCGTGGAGCTGCTGGGGGACAGCCCACGCAAGAGGAGACGCGGGACGGCGGCAGGAAGGAGCCCCCTCTGCGAAAAGGTCGGAGCGATTTAAAAAAATCCTCTCGGAGCCACGCCGGGAGCGGGGTGCGGGCAGGGGGCTTGGAGGGGTCCCCGGCTCCGCCGGCGGGGAGCTTGCTGGGCACATCCAGGCTCTGGCGTTTGGAAACGTTGTGGGAAGGGGTTGCCGCAAGATTTGTTTGTCCCACGTGATGATGTTCGTGTTGCGTGGTTCGACGCGGAAGGGGGTGTTTGGAGTCAGGCGGGGCTGTTTGGGGCTGAGAAACTCCCTGGCTTAAAAATACGAAACCTGTTGGGGCTTTTCTGTTTCTCCTTCGTGTGCGGTTGCCAGCCTTGGGTTCGTGGGAAGAGCAGAAAAAAGAAAAAAAGCCCAAACAAACCAGGAGGCCAGGGATGCTCCTGCCCGTGGGGTGGGAATGTGGCGTGGGGTGAAATTGTTCCTCCTGGATGGAGGATCTTGCGGCACTGTAAAAATCGCCCGAAATACGTCAGCTCTGAGAATGTCTTTTAGTTGTGCGGGGGTACTGCAGGACGATAGAGCAGCAAGGCCAGCTTGGTTTAATCAAAACCTCCTTGTTTAAAAGAGCGTCCTTCTGGAAAAGACTCTTAAAGGGGATATTTGGAGCCTGAATCCCCCGGGAAGCAGAGGAGTAGTGCCGGTCTCTGTACTGGCTTGGCGTATCCCTGGCACCGCTGCCCATCCAGGGGTGTTTCTGGGTGCTGGAGCTGCTCGCGTGCAGGGCTGTGCTGCGCCCCTCGTCGCCTGGGCGCTCCCACCCCTGCTTCGGTGTGTTACGGCGTGCATGCGTGTGTTAAACGAGCAGTATTATTCATACCCAGTACCGTATGCTAGACGGGTATGAATAAACGATGAAGCAGGTCTGATTTTTTGCAAGTGGAGACAAAATGCGGGTCTTGCAAACTGTTGCTGCCTCCTAGGCATGCTCCAAAACACACGTACGCAAGGGAGAGCTTCAGCTCTTGGAGTTAACAAAGCTGAACAGCAGAGCCCGACTTCTCCTGCTCCAGCATTAAACCTCCAAGAGGTTTACAACCTCCTCCTCCTCCTCCGCTGGAGTGCACCACGCTTGCCACGTTGCAGTTAGAGCCTCGTGCCTCGGTTCCCCCCTTGCCTCTAGCCCTTCCCAGCCGCTCCAGTTCCCCTTTCCCTCTTCAAGAGAGATTTTGGGGAGAGGAGTTTCTGCAAGTCGTTGCATGGGCTGAGCAGCCTGCCCTTACGTCAGGGTACCGGAGCTGGAGGATGCCGAGCTGCCGGAGCGATGCCGAAGCGTTTTAATCGTCATGCCGGCGGTGACAAACGTCCCTGTTCCCCCCGCTGGCTTTCTTATTGTGGTTGGGAGCGGGGCGGCGGGGTCCTTCGGCGGGTACTAACTCTTCGGTGCCATATAACCGTGTGGCATAAAGGACCCGTGGGGAGCTATTGTTCCCGAGTTGGGCTGGGAAGCGTGGCCAATTAAAAGAGATAAATTTATAACAGGTACGAACCAGGAATCTGACAGCTTATTATTAATGGGTAAATGCAGAACAGAGCACGCGGCGCAAGGAACAAAGCGCCTTGCTGCTCTCAGGAGGTGAGATGCTGCGTACAAACCAGCTCCCGCCTGCCCTCGGGGATGAGGGTCCTCCCAAATGGTTGATATTTGGGGTTAAATTCACCTGCCTGAGATGCTTTGCCTCTCTCAAGCACCTGGCTTCATTCGGATCATGAATTTTCCTGCTTGCAAGCAGGGGGGTGGGACAGGGAAGAATTTTTGGGGTCCTTAAATCTTTATGCCCGTCTTAGTTAAATACTACTTTGCTTAACGGGCTGCTCTTGGGAAGGGCGATGTCTCTGCGAAGATGCTTTACGAAAGTAACAGCCGCCTGGAAGTTTTAACGGGGGTGGGTGTAAATGATGCAGGAAAAAATGAACCGGCTCGAGTGTGCTGCTTCCCGGAGCTCCTCCCAGGACAGTAAAACTCGCTCCTTCTTCTCCGGCGGTGGCTTTGATGCCGGTGCCCTCCTGTTACGGAGGAGGGATAGCTGCTGCCGTCTGGGAGGAGGTAAAATATCTGCAGTTCCCTGTTTTGACAACAGTTTCCTATGTGGGAAATAACTTAAGGTGCGATTCCTCGTCTTGCAATTCGGATGCAAAAGAGGTGATGGCATGGCAAGGCGCTGTCAGAGCAAGCAGCTTCATCCCCGGGGTGACTTCCACTCCTTTCCCCCCCCCAGAAAAGAGGCAGGAACAACTTTCTTGGATGGATGGGGAAGGCGGGTCACATAAATCCCATCCTTGATCATTCCCCGTAGCAAAATTGGGGCTGTTGCCCGTGTTGCTGTGCTGTTTGGAGGACGAGTGTCTTACAAGCGCAGCATCGCAGCGCTTCAGCAGTCGGGTCTGCCTAAATATCTGCAAATAAATGGACTTGTTCATTAAAGTAGGAACTTGGAGATCAAGTTTGGAAGACTTAGACACCCAACCCTTCTTCTGTGGACTTGGAAGAGGGGAGTGTGAAGCTGTTGGGATGATTTTCATGGCTCGAGCTCTGACGTGAGCTACAAAGCACCCCCAGCACAGCCCTGCAAGGCTGGTTATAAGGTCCTTTAGGTGCCTACATTGAGTACTGGTGTTTTGCAGGTTATTGCAGAGCCTTCCTCTAGCTGTATCCCTCCTTGCCTAGGTATTAGAGCAGACTGGCTCCTTACATTTGATTTTGTGGGTGTTTTACTTTTTGTTTCCTGCCTCCTTGTGAAACAGGGTTATTAATATGGAGACGGCCTGTACAGTGTGTAAGAGAAAGACCACGGTGGGACGCTAGTTGCTATAGAAATGTTCTAATTTGGACAGTCCTTTGCCTCCTACATGAGCCCTCAAGTGAACAAACAAGTGTGGTGGTGTTTTTCTGTGACGATCCGCCGGCTTTGAGCTTGGCTTTGCGCTTGCTGTCCTGTGAGGTCGATTTTGAAGGGGCTCTTGGGCACTGGAAGCTATTCCTCACATAAATATCCTGAAGCTGGGAGTCTTTCTGCTAGGGATGATAGCTCTGACCTACCTGGTTGATTTAGCAGCGCAGCTCTC